AGATAGATAGATAGATAGATAGATTAAAAAATCTGTTTGAAATCTATTATTTAAGAAACACTTCGGACATGGGATGCATTTTCTTTAACTAAAAGAAACTACAGTTCAACATTGTGACATTCAATCATCCATGTAACAAATTAAAATGACCCATGTTCTTCTTGATGACCACTGGTTCCAGTAGCTGTGTTTTAAACAGTTACATGTAAACTACAGAACAGTCTTTCTACGATGTTCTAAATGCTGGCAGTTATTATTATTTATCTATAAAAACAACTTTTTAACTATATAAACACTTAATTTTTTTTATCTAATTCAGTTTCTCAGCATTCAATAGGGTTAAATAATAATAAATAATTATAACACAGAAACTGCAGTGAAAATAAATGACAGCACAAAACCCAACTGAATAGGTGAAAACACTCAATTAAACTGTATTTCAGCCCCTTTTCCTCCTAAGTGTCACCAAATTTAAGTCCCGGTTTATAATTTGAGAAACATTTCTCTGGAGATACTGTGCTCAAATAAGTCTTAAAAAAACAAACAAACAAAAAACTTTCATACAATGATGGTGAATGTGTTCTTAAAGTACTAACTTCTGTAGTAGTACTCGGAGTAAATGTTTAGTATGTGCTGTAAAATATAACGTGATAAATGTTATCTTTGTTAAAATGTTACAGTTCTACTGTCATGTGCAGAATTATCTCCCAAAGTTAACTTTCTTTAATTATTAAATATTATGCGTCTCTATTGTCCATGCTACACATGCGGTCTATCACGTTTTAAATATATATATATATATTAAAATGCTGTTCCTTATTTGCACAGATAAAGAATAAATCATCTCTGTTCTATTTTGTGAATCAAACAGCAGCAGATCAAACCTCAGAGACATTAAAGTTTGTCTGCTCTTCATCGGGAAAAATAACACATCTCTACGCAATCATTAACCATTTCCTTAGAGACATGGAGGTGTTAAAGTGCTGTGCCGGGCTCACTTTCAGCCCCGACCTCTTGTCATCTGCCCCGAGTTGTTGTAAATGTAAATGTGAATTTAAATGTGAATGTGAATGTGCTGCTACTTGCTGCGGTGCGGTTGTTGTTGACAGAGATTTGTCCCGCAGGTGATAATTCCTTCCAGCGCCTGCTTTAAACCCTCCAATAAACATCCACCAATTAGGGCCTCACACAGAGAAGAAGAGAGAAAAAAAAAATTATAGACGGTTTTAACACAACCGCAACAAACGCAGATCACCCAGGTAATCAGGAGAAGACTGCCACCGTGTTGGGATAAATCCCATATTTTTGTGATCTGTGAGGAATGAAGATGATGGATCCAGAAATCGATTTATCTTCACCCAGAACGGTGGTACTCCCTTTATTTATTTATTCATTCCCCCCTCTCCACAATCTACGTTTGCTTTTAAAAAGGAAAATCAAAGATAAACGTGTGGACGTGTTAGATTTCATAACGGGGGCCTCGCTGACAGGACAAAGGAGTGTGGAGACAGATGTAGGCCCATCATTTGCAAATCCCCGTAGGATGCTTCTCCTCCATCAGCACGTCAGCCTTTTTTCACAGCATGGGCGACACTCTGCAAGTGTCTGCTCCACATCAAAGCGGACGTGAGTGAAGCCCGGTGACAGTGATGAATGCAGTGAAAACATGGCCGGATCTTCACTAGTGTCCCCTCGCCGTCTCACAGAGCGCAGCCAGCGAAGAGATTCGGCACCGAGTCGACTGAGCAGGGACGGAGAGAGGAGATGCTGCTACTGCGGCCGGGAGAGGAGGCTCACAGCTGGACATGGAGCGCCCTCTGATGGCCCATCTCTGGCTATAACACAGAAGCATCGTTTTCACGCACGCGCACACACAAAATAATATATTTTATTTAAGGGCGCCTTTCAAGGCTCTTAAGTCACAGTACGACTTAAAAAAACAAACAAAAAACTCATTAGACAAAATTAGTTAAAAACGGTTAAAACAACAGTCAGTGAAGTTAGTGGTATGTTGTATGTGCTTGATGGAAGAATTGTTTTGTTTTTTTAAATAATTACACAATCAGAATTTCTGGCCTGTGAAGGTGAGGGGCTGACGGTGATGATAACTAACACATGCCTATAATATCTCTGACTTTCAGGTTTAATTCTGTTGTGAAGGGCAGAGGAGTCATAGTAAATGTTGATTTGATTTATTGTATTTTCTTCCATCAGGTGATGTCACTATATTACAGTTTATCAAAATATTAAAGTATAAACATTTATATTCTTTTAATTATTTTTCTACAGCTCTTTCTCTTAAATGATATAACACTTTTTACAATACTGTAAAAAGGTACTTTTATTTCTACTACATCATTGTATGCATCACATGATGTATTGTTGTTACTAATATTCTTATTATTGTTCAGTATCAACAGTGTCAAAGCCTATTTTTATATTATTATTATTAATAATAATAACAATAATAATTATAATTTTTGTAGGATGGCACAATAGAAAATAAATACATTTTTAAATTAACGTTGTGAGTAACAAATAATAATTTGTACAAAATTAAACGTCTAATACATTTGTAATTTTATACAGTTATATGAATCATTTCTTGTATGACAAATCAAGGACAATATATATATAATACAGATTGTATGTGTAATATTTATTTTTTGGTTGAATTCCGTATTTATTTTCTGTGGTGGGGATATTCGTAAAGCGGTAATAATGACGCAGCAGCAGTGGAGATAATTGCATCCATCAGCAGCAGCTGAGTAAACCGAAGGACAGATTTGTAATAATTAAAAACAACGTGGACCCCTTGTGGTTATGTAGGGAAGCAGATATAGAAGTTACGGTGGCTAAGAGCGCACCGACAGACAGGGAGGGAGGCGGCAAGCTGCACCGACGGTTGGACATAAGTGTTTGCTGTTTGTTCTGCTCGTGAGAAGGACATCAAGGATCCACCACTGGAGTAAAATGGAAGACGAGGGGACGAGGAAGATGAAGGAGAAATTTGGCCTGAGGCGGGACATCTTGAAGGAGTTCCTGGCGGAATTTCTGGGGATATTTGTCCTGATCGTGAGTACCTCCCTCTGCACCTGTCAGCAGCTTAAACAGCAGCACGGTGATAATAAGGTGTCAAAGTGGATCCTCTAGGGGACGGGACTGTTGTCTCTCTCGTATGTCTCTATTCTGACTCACTGGGTTCTGAAAATAGAAGATTCTTCCCCTTTTGATGTGGTCGTATTAGAAATCCACGTGTGACAGAATGTGCTGAAAGAAACCATCCTAACAAGCCGTGACAACAGGAGAATATTTTTAGCTTTTCTCACATCTTATCTGCTTTATATTTAGACATTCATAACTCTATTTTCTGTCCATTTTCAGGCTAAGAATGTGCGCCACACTGCTGTTTCGAGTTATTAATGTGGTCTTTTTTATTTTCTGAAAGTTACAGCATTTGAGGACAAAACTTTCTAAAAAAAAGAAAGTAAAAAAAAGTAGTGTGTTCAGCTGTGGCTAAACTGTCGTGTTTAGTCATATCTACACAGGACAGTTTAGATGTGGCTAAACTGTGGCCAAAACAAACAAACAGAAAAACAACCTTACTTTAATTTAATTGTCTACATTTGTCACATTCAACCAGATGATAAAACGTTCACTCCCCTTTTAATAATTGGCTACATATTAGTAGCTTTGTATAACGTTCCCGTTTCCTGAACATTTTTTACTTAAGTCTGAATATTTTTTATTATTATTAAAAACATATAGAGCTTAATAATACCACAGACAAAGGTCTCTATGGAGCATTTGTCTTAAAGATATACTGTAGTTCTGTCCAGTTTTTTGCCAGTATTCCTGTGTTCACAGCGTCACTGTGTTAATGCACATCACTGGTCTGTGGAATGGCTGAATCTAGGTCAGTCCTATAGGGTTGGATGAATTGTCAAATAACGTTATTTCAATATACACATTTGAAGAATGTTATCATGAAAAGTACAGATGAAGCAACTAGGTGTAGAGATGCTGTCCTGGATACAAGTACAAGTAGGTTAGAATGGTGTTTTAAAGAGGATATTTCTGATTGGTTCTTCTTGTCAAGCCCAGCTGTATGTTCTGTGACAGACTAGGAACACCACAGTCTTCTTTCATTTTGGTTGACTGATTTCTTCTCAGCATTTTTTTTCCTCTCTAACTGATTTCTCCTCTTACCAGGGGGATTAATTATTTCCCAAAGATCCAAGTTGGACAAATTGTCTGTGGCACTCACAGGCTGTTGGTAGACAAGGGGGCGAGTGTTAACAGTGGCTATAATTGGAATAATTAAAAACAATAGCTCTTTCTGCTTCTACCCTTTGTGTTTTCCCTCTTGTCTGTGTCCCAGCTTTTTGGATGCGGTTCAGTGGCCCAGACGGTGCTCAGTAAAGGGGCTCTCGGCGAGCCTTTGACCATCCATCTGGGTTTCACCCTGGGAGTCATGATGGCCGTGTACATGGCAGGGGGTGTGTCAGGTAAATACAATACATCAGCTTAGAGCTCTACAAAGTTTGCTACAAATGCAAAATGTGACCCAAAATCCCAGCGACACCTTACGGTAGACACATGGAAATCAAAACTGTAATGTCAAGATAAATGTAAGACTTTTTCATTTGTTTTGTTTTAAAAATAATCCTCCTCCGGTAAACCTGACCTGTACAGGCCTTAATTCTGCACAATATTGATTTGTATATGACTATCTCATTGAAAGGAAATTCACATTGAATAATACTTGATGGTGTCTGGTAGCTGATTGGCTATTTTCTACACTTTAAATAATATTTCTATTCCATCATTATTCACAGTTCTAATTTTTAAAATAATTTTGGGCTAACATTTTGCAGTTTATTATCTTCTAAGCTAATATAAAGTTAGCTTAAAAACATAACATAAGCAAACCTTCTTAAAAAAGGTACACAGAAATATATACATATATATATATATTTGGCATAATATATACCAAATATATTGACTAGAATTCTGTCCAATATTACTGTTGTTAATATGTTGGATGCTGAGGACAGTGAAGATAATATATGGAGAGTTTCTGCTGCATGACTGGGCCATTTAGCCCCAGTGGGAGGCTTCTGTCCAAAGACATCTTTGAAGATGATCATAGGTATTGGACTAATGAGCTTTACAGGGGCAGGGGTCTCTGTAGAGGAGGGGGTCAGGTGTGACCGGTCTGCCTCCCTGGTCTCCTGTGGCATCACACCCCCATGGGAGAAGAAAGCACAATTGTTTTCACTCCGTGGTCTCAGATTTTAGATGACAGTGTACCATAAATGTGACACATCATGGTCACTCTGATGACCTGCAGCCTTAAGCAGATTCAGTCAGATTATGTCAGATGCAATTCAGACACACAGGTCTCGCTGTTTGTCGTGGTCAGTGTTTGCGAACAAGATTGGAAGATTAACAAAAAGGCGCATGGCTGATAGCCCCAGTGGTGTTACTAGACTGAGGTCAAAGCCAAGATCCCAAAGTGTTAAGTAAATGACCCCACACTGTCGTCGCAGCCCTCAAACACTTGGCTGGAATGTGTTGATGGACAATGAAGTGTAGGAAAACAGGTCAACTGTGACGACACCCAAACCCCAGTGGCTTTTATCTGAGGATACTTTGTAAGTCTTCAAGGAATGAAGATCGGAGAGTTGTTTCCTGACTGTTGCTAATGACAAAGTGTCTAAAAGGTCTGTTTCAGCTCAGCCATTGCTACAGTAAAGCAGCATAAACTTAGTTCATTTTCTATTTGAAGACATTCGCCAGTGAAGTGAAGAATCTCTTATTAAACATCATTATCAATGATACATAATTATAAAAAAAATCTTTTTTTTTTAATTAAATCTTTATTTTTTTGCAACTGGATGACTACATATATATATATATGTATATATATATATATATATATATACACACACACACTTACATGCTATCACTTCCTTTGTTAATTTTTGTTGTTGTTGTTGTTGTTTTTGTCATCAGGAGCCCACGTCAACCCTGCAGTCTCTCTGGCCATGGTGATCCTGAAGAAGCTGCCACTGAAGAAGTTTCCTGTGTATGTGGCAGCTCAATTCCTCGGAGCCTTTGCTGGATCCTGTGTAGTTTATGGATTGTATTATGGTATGGAATATACAAACACATTTTAACTTGATCTAATTTTGGTTCATATTTAAGAGTATGTTGGTGCTAAGTATAATTTGTGTGTTTTTTTCCTTCAGATGCTCTAATGGCTTTCACCAATGGAGAGTTCATTGTCACTGGTGCCAATGCCACAGCCAACATATTTGCGTCCTATCCTGCCAAACATCTCTCTGTGCTAAATGGATTTGTTGATCAGGTGAAGGCTTAATGCTAGAATATCCAGTATTCATTAGTTGATGATGATTCATGACCTACTGTACACAAGAACATATTGGCTCTGAGCAGCAGAGATATTCTGGTCTGTTTTAATGTGGAATTATTGATGCCAGCGAGATAGCCCTGGATTTTCTGTGTCTACAAGCTACTAGAGCAGACACAAATGTGAGTGCACATTTGGTGCAGTCGAGTGTATCAGAGGAATAGGAGCAGAAATAGACATAGGAGATGTTTACTGTCATGAACAATTAGACTTCGATGCTAAAAATAACAGCCATTCGTAGTGAAGGAATATGACGCATAGATTGTGAATAAGGAACAGATGCGGCCATGTGGTTGTAAACTATAGATGTAGCAGCAGCTTTTTTGTTGAATGGCTTCTATGCAGTGTACTGTTTAATCTTCTAGTTTGGCTCTGAATTTGATTTGAATTGACAAAACCAGCATCATAGGGTTTGATTTGGGTTAGGGATACAGTAGTTGGGATTATTAATGATGTTGATGTTCAGTTCTTAATGCTTAGGTTCAGTCTTTATATTAAAAGTATTACATTTTGTAAATCGTTTTATTTTAAATAATTAATTGAAATGAAAATGTCACTGTGTGGTTATATATTTTAATCTGTTAATTCTGTTGTTTTTATTAAAATTGGTCTAAAAATATGATAAATAATATTATAGTTATATAACAACATTTGTGTGTAATCTACACATGTTTACATGATTTTCCTTCAGTTTTCCGTGTAAAGCAGCACTACTGATGTAAACACAGACTGAAAGCAGGGGAAAGGGAAATCACTTAATAAGCTTAAGACAAAACAGCAGGGCAGAGGTCAACGTGGCAGATGAGGTCCATGAAAAGCATCTTCTCAACAGCAACAGCAACAAAAATGCACATTTTTTTTAATAATTGCCAAAGCTTTTTCCAGGTTATTGGAACTGCTGCTCTGATCCTGTGCATCCTGGCCATCACTGATAGGAAGAACATTGGAGCTCCCAAAGGCATGGAGCCTCTATGCATTGGTCTCATCATCATGGCCATTGGAGTGTCCATGGGTCTGAACTGCGGTTATCCAGTCAACCCGGCTCGAGACCTTGGCCCTCGCTTCTTCACAGCTGTGGCAGGCTGGGGTGTGGATGTCTTCAGGTGAGGCCAAATGTGTTAACATCCAAAGATATTCTGGTCTTCCCTGACTCACCTGCTCTTGTCCCTCCCACATGAAAGTTAGCATTCAGAGTCCCATCTCCTTTCCTGTGGTAAATTTAATTAATATTTTAAAGATCATGCATGTATTTCCTGCCGTCTGAGAGCTGAGTGAACAGGGGATCGAATACACAAAATTATAAAAGATTTAGTGCATGGTAACTGAAGTGGAACAGATGAGCACGTGTGCTCTTCACCAACTCCCTGTTCTCTTAGTCCCACTCACATTTGCTTGTATTTTATAATTTCAGACGTTTCCCCCTGATCAGACTGAAAATGACAGAATCATACAGATACATTTTTAGATGAAATACATGTTGTACTTTCTGGGTAAAAAATGTCTTTGGTTCTAAGCAGGTTTGAAGCACTACTGCAACATTTAGTTGTTGAAATAGAAAATAGCAATTTTGGAAGAAGTTACATTGTTGTAAACATGTGACCTGTTGACACAGTATACATTAATACTGTAGCTGCACATTGTTCCACCCTCCAAAAACTGTTACTGTGACTATTGGAAAACAAATCAATACAGGGAACAGGAGATTTTTCAAAGTTACAGTCTTTTATGATGGATATACAGTAAATTCTTGGTGTATTAAACAAATGTAACCTTTAGGTTTAGTTCTCCAGCACTGCAGTTGAAAAACAGGAGGCTGTCTATATTTTATTAAATGCACATCAAGTGTGACTTGTGTACTAAAAACTAAAACTGTCACAAAGATCAAACTTAAATGTCAACACATTTCTGTGTTTGGGGAGTCGTCTGCACAAGATGAGCAGCATATGTCTAACATTAACTTTGGACTTTGTCAACAAGGACACCATAACAGCCTATTTTTGATTGTTCAGAGTCTGAAGTCATGACAAAATATAGATAATATGTTAAAAAAAACCTCTAATTTTCCTACCTCCTGTCTTGCTGGAAATTCCTTACTTAAGGAAAAGCTGTGAAACTTTTATGGAAAGTTAATCACACATTACCCTGGTCACATTGTCCAGGGTCAAAGACACCAGTGTTAGGTTTGTGTTACATCTGAGGTGCTCAGATTCACATGCACCTTCCTTAAATGCTATTGGATCTGCTGCACTGCACAGTCCTGGCATGTTTCCCAGGAGGAGTTCTCTAGCTTCCTGATGAACGACTGAGCGTTCAGCAGTGGTCACAACCACGTCTGCTTTAGCACGCTTTCTTTACATTTCTTTTTATCCACATTCCAAGATTAGGCTTGGTGTTCTCTATGCTGTGATGACTGCCCTGAGTTTGGCTCAGAACTTATGCAAATGCAACCTAAGAAAGCTTCATACACAGCGAGAAACAATATATGTTCAATAACAATACATGTTTTATTCTAAGCAATTATTAAATGTATTTCTGCATTAGTGGTAAAAAAAGTTAACAGTTACCCTGCCTCCTACAGTTATATTTAGTGTTTTGTATTAAAACAGATACTGAGTTTAGGTCATTTATTTGACTATATATATATATATATATATAGAAGGTGACAAACTGTCAGGCACACAGTGCGTCAGCATGTGTGTGTTTGTGTGTGTGAATATGTCAATAATTTGACCATTAAAACATTCTTCCTTACTATTTTATAATGTTATAATTTAAGACCTTAGATAAAGTGCGTTATGTAAGCATGGTTCATCTTTTTCGCCTGTTCAGCTCACAGATTGACGTTTTATCTGTATGCCTCTGCTTCCAACACCGCAGCTTTAAATAGCAACATATGGTTCAAACGCAATATAGAAAGAATTAATGTGAACATAAGCCCCTGAAACTATCAGTATCATAGGAACTATCATATGCAGAGTAAAAGTTAGTGCTAAATCTGACATAATCCTTCAGGATTAATGATATAAATGCAGCATCAGCATACACAGTTGGTTGAACAGTACTAGCATACCGTAAATGTAACCCACAGTTGGGAAAACTGCAGTAGACAGTGTACAGTGGGTTTGTGTCTGTAATCCAGCGTGATCAGACCACACACTTGTTTACTACTGTCCTGAACATTAGCTCTGTTAACCAATGACCTTTCACCTCAAGTAAAAGCTACTACCAGACTACCACACTGACCAACACCCCTCGTCTGTCTGAGGTTGGTCAGGGCCACTGTGAGGACACAGGCAGTGGCATTAAGTCAGAGCTGCTTAAGACTTTACTGTAATCTGGGATCAACACATACTGCATGTAGTGATGATAAAAATAAATAAACGTATGTGTTAAAAGACAGTTTACACCATGGTGGATTTCCATTTTTTTTATGTGTTTATTGTTCCATTTGCGAAAGTTGTATCCGTATTTTTGCTGTAAGATTGTGAAACCAAGCTTAATATCTCCTGTCCTGGCTACTGACCCGTTACCATTACAGTCTACTGTACATTTCTAATGCATTCAACCAAGCCTTTTAAAACAACCTGATACCATTAAGTGTCAAACCAAAACTAAGTCTTATGTCAGACAAAGTTTTCTCCTAGAAATCATGAGACGAGCAGACTGACATTTTAGGAGTCATTGATGCACTTAAAGGTGTAGTCAGAAAGATTTCCTTACCTTTGGCCAGGACCGGTGCCAGCTCTCCTTGTTTACAACCTTTGTGAAAAGCTAAGCTACCATGAAAACATGAGCACAGCATCAGATTTATAATCCTGAAACATTTGTCTTGAAACATTGAAAATGTTAATCCCAGCATTAGCTAAAACCTATCCAAAATGAAACACAGTTAGACTGAACCAGAATTATAAATAAACACCAACATACTGTATATAAGCACTGGTAAAGTGGTTGTAGGTATAAATGGAATAAAATCTCACTAATTTCTGCTCATACTGTATGTCTCTTATTTCAGTGCTGGTGGCTGCTGGTGGTGGATCCCAGTTGCCGGTCCAATGGTGGGTGGAGCAGTCGGAGCTGGGGTTTACTTCCTCTTTATCGAGCTGCACCACCCTGAACCTGAGAAACAAGAGGAGAAGAACATTCAGGACAAATATGAAATGGTAACAATGAGTTAAAGCCACAGATCTGCTGTCATTATTCATCTCAGGCAGCAAATACATACATATATTTTTGAATATACAGTATATCAAGAACATTTAGCTTCTACCTGAATCCTCTTCACTGCTGTAGTTTTTATTTGACTCTTTAATCAACATCCCTAGGAAGTACATAATTAGTGGTCATATGCGTTTTCCAATAATTCAACATCATAATGATCTCTGTAATTCAAGAACCATGTAGTATTTATACCATATTCTACTGTTACTGTTATTTATACCATATTCTACTGTTACTTCACACCAATCTACCTTCGTGAGCAATATTACTGTGTTTTTTACAGCAGTAATATTTCACATCCTACGTCACTGTGTGACTCACAGGTGCTAAACACGTTCGTTTAGAAATAGGTGCATTTAATATTAGAAACACAGAGGAATGTGTGTTTTTATAATGCATTTGAAAAATCACATGACACATACCAGGTCAGCATTATACAGTAGCCGTCAGAGCAGAGGTCTGTAACAGGAGGACTGCTGATGTAACACAAGGGGTAGTGTCATTTATGGTGGATTAGACTTATTTTGTATTCACACATTTTCTTTTACTTTTTTTTCTCACATATGTCTGTGCATGAATAACTTTAACATGGATGCCATATACGTATGTTTCAAATGGATGCACGGTATAATGCCGTGTAGTGGGGCGTCCCTGTTCCATCTCCCTTTGTTTGATGCCTGCTTTAGATAACTACCAGACATCATGAACATTTTCTGTTAGTCTATAACAAAAAATGTATGACGCTTGGTCAATCTTAACACAAAACTAATCCTAACCCTAAAATAGACAGCATTATACTTTAATTTAAAATAGTTTATGTAGTAAAGGATATGATGTTGGTGTAAATGAGCTTGACCATGTAAACTGTGAGGTTACATCACTAGATTGTGCCCACTGTAAAACAAGGCAATCAAGTTTTTTTTTTTGTATTTTCACACTCATGGTGTGCATGACTTTGAGTAGACAGAGTGTGCATGTTCATTGTATGTCAGTAATTATGGTGAAAAAAGTATTAGATGTAGTAGTTAATGACACTGAATTAAAGATGGAGCAACCCATAAAAATGCAATAAAAATTAAAAGACAGAAAAACGTCACTGTTTTAACAAACTAAATTCTATCACATTTTTAAAATTTGACATTAATGTAACCGAAAAGAGCAAAAGATGGAATCTACTGCTGAATGTGCACATTCTTGTGACATCAAGTATAATAATGGTATCAATTAGAATAATGTGGTATGAAATATTGTTTGTTTTATTTTGGGTTCCTAAAAACAAGTATAATCATTTTTGTTTTGTTGTTTGTAACAGTCCAATGGTTTTGTATTATAAATGCATTTGAACTTTTTCATTTTTAGGAGATCTTTCCTCACAAACCAAAGTTTTTCTAAGCACGCAATAGAATTATAATACACTGCATACGTTATAATTTAAAATATAATTTTCTCTGCAGATAAGTGGCTTTTCTGGAAATTTCTGTCTTTTCAAATCTTTTTCCATCAAGTTTGTTTTTCATTTGAGAAAATACACTGCCAAAATACACAGGTCTTCTGAGAGAAGCCAGTTTGACAAGAATAAAAACACATGTAAAAATGATCACATTTATTCATAACATCTGTGTTGTGTAAGTGTCAGACTGTCAAGAGATTCCACTGTAACTTTGTTATTAGTAAAATTACAAAAAGGCATTTTCACTGATTCTATCTATGATCCAAATCAAATCTAAAAGTAACAAAGTCTCTTAGACAATTAAAAAAAAAAAGATATGTCAAACATATGCATGAAGACTCCATTCAGTCCAGAACTAGCTTTTATCTCAAATGTAAAATGCTGCTTTGTCATGCAGCACAATGACATTTAGTTGAAGGTCTACTTTATAAAAAAGAAGAAATTGATCAATTCTGCCCTTCAAATAGCCCAATATTCTTAAGTTCTGAAGTTATTCAAAAACGTCTGATAAAATGGCCCTTCAAATGATGCAAATGCTTTAATAAAACCAAACTCATTTGTTCCTTATTTCTTTCAAATCTTCTTCAAATCACTGTCACTCCTAATGTGCTAACTAACTGCGTATTTACTGTTGGTATGGTATCTTTCCAGACACACACTCTGTGTATTTGTGCACACGCATTTTCCTCTTAAAAGCAGCCATTGGCCAAGGTACTGTGTCTACAGTAACACACAAACACCCACGACACCCATAAACTGAGCCAGGAAAAGCAAACATTCACGGTGTTTGCTTTTCACCTGCTGATGTGACATCACACGTTAGACAAAATCTGACTTTAACTGTTCTGCTGCTGAACTGGAATAGTTCTATGGAGACCAGTGTAGTTTTAAACTAGGAAATGACACCAAGCTCCAGGTTACATTCAGAAGGCTGTCCAGATGGATCTTCTCGATTTGTTTTTACATCATACTGTATATTTGATGTATTATATTTGAATTATATGATTTAAATGATTTTAATGCCAACAACCTGGAACTAAGTGTATTGCCAAATTCAACACAGTACATTTAAATAAATGTATAAAATTGTTAGATTTATTTTGGTATTCAAATGAATACTAACTCAATGTGAGTTGAGCAAAGACGTGACGTAATATGAGGATATGTTTTTTTTTTTTTTTTCTTGTGAAGAGAGCAGCTGTGGAGTCTACCAGAATGGTAGTTGCATGGACACTGTTTGATCATTAACCATGTGTGTATGCTGTGCTGAGTCACTCTGTGAGAACATTCCAGTGTGAAGGTGACAGGCATTGCTGAGTGTTGCAGAAATTTGACTAAAAAAAACCATTACTTTCTCTTAATGTTAAAACAACAGCATTGAATATGTTGATTTATTTCAGTTCTATCTCATCAGGAAACGTCTTTTCCTGGACAAATGTAGAGTCAGTGAGACCAGTGGTCTGAAAACGGCACACCGGTATAGGACATTTTCAACTTCCCAGTCACTATCAGTCCATGCCTTGGTTCTTGCACAATGTCTTTGACCTGCACAGGTTGGCCAATCAGAATAAGACCAAATCCACCCAAGCCATAACCCCTTACTCCTGCCCAGTATAGTACAACGTGTTTCCCACAATGATGAGTCTGCTCTGAAAAAGCTGTTCCACTCGTTGACCAAAGATTGTAATCCTTCTGTGCCGCACCTGAAATACAAAGGACATGCTAAAAAGAGTCACGATGTCTGTGGTCAAACTGCTGTGCTGTTTGCTGTTGACTTATTCCATCAGTGAGGGCAAGAAAATCAAAGGAAGCAGATCAGGTGAGTGACGTGGGTTTAAACTCAAAAAGCTATCAAGTCTTATTGCAATGATAGAGATTCTCCACCTTAAGTGCATGCTGTTTTTGTTGTTATACTGTATGCTAGTTAGCATATGTCCTTGTAGTTCTAATATTATCAAGTGTCTCATTTACACTTTATTTCTGCATTTACAGAAAGAGCAAACACAATGATTGTAAGTCTGTGAATGTCTTTATCTGAACATATACTGTCAATCAGTACATTCAAATCATACAGGGTTTTTGGAAACCCTTATTTTTTTGTAAAACTGATTAATCATCAAAGACCAAGTGAAAATCAATGCAATAAAACTTAACTTTTTTTTAAATGAGGAAAACAGGAAAATTGACAGGAAAAAGTGAGAAACATTCCATTTTAGCAAAAACAGCATGTGGGACAGGAGAGACAAACTCGCTGTCCATAAATGACACTGGGTCCATATCTTTGTTAACAGTGACACTGCATTATGTCCTAGCACATGGATTGTAAAACTGTTCACCAGGAGAAAAATGATCAGAAATAATTAAGTTTGGTTGACCAGGAATTTGGCTACAAATGACACATTGTGAATTAAAATTGAATCAGACCTGCAAGAGGATGTTTTAGATTTTTAGATTTAAATAAGTTATTCTGACTGAGAACCAAAGTAGGATCACATGTTTAAGGAGCGGAAATCAGGAATGTTGTTTATATTTCATGAGTAAACACCCCAGTCCCCTGCCCCCACTAAAAACAACAAATCTGAAAACACTGCTGTGAGTTTTTACGCTTATTTTTCTTATACACTTTTTATTTCCTAAAAATACATTTCCCCTTGTGTTTATTAGAGGGCTTTTGTTAGTACACATTGTACTGTCTTTATCATTAATTAGAGCATGTTTACTCCAAAGAGTGAGACTGTTTCCAAATGCCTTCCATGCTCCTTGGGTAAATAGTCATAACAAGGAGGAAACTCCAAAGGAAGTGCAGGATTTAATTAACGGAGAGGCTGATTGGTGATGAATAATAGATGATTAGATTCCGTGCTGTCTATAGAGATGTTTACTTTGGCTTCATGTCAGCAGACAGAGCTCAGCTGATAGCTGATGTACAGTATGTATGCTCTGTGTTTATATATATATGTTATGTCAAGGCGCCTGTGTTTCTGTCCTTATGAAACTGTTGGACAATTAAATAAGCTGGACAGGAGTCAACAGTGAACCATGAAGGAAATGTAGTGATGATTTGTTAGGAGATCGGTCTCTAATGTTTGAGGGCGAGGCTGCTGAGGTTTTGGAGCCGTGGTTTTTACTCGTTAGGAGAGGAGGAGTTTCATTAGGACTCACAAGACAAGAGTCTGGAAGAGTTTGAATTATTTTTGTCACATGTTCTCTGTGTGTGTGTTGGGGGGTCTGTAAGGACCAGAGACACGGGAAAAGGAACAGAGGGCTCAAACTGGCCTTGGTGGTAAATTACAGATACAATTTCTTAAATACTGTCAGAATATAACATCAGT